GGGCATATATTATAGTAATTTTTTTCTTCTTTCTGCACTCTTTTCATTCAACTTTTTTTTGATGGTTTTGTTTTTGTTTCTTTTAAATTAATGAACAAAAAAAATTAATTAATTAAATGGCTTTAAACATATTCTAAGTTCATGGTATAAACCAACACAGACATGTTCCTGTTTTTAGTATTTTACATTGCTTTATAATTTAGCTGTTTTTGTTTCATTTTTTTAATATATAATTTTATTGTAATTTTCAATTCATATGCTTTTTTATGTTTGTATACGGTTGTACGGATAAAATATCTCCTGGAGTGTAAACTATATTGGCTGAAAGTTTTCAATCAAGCTGCAAAATCCTTCGTTTTCTACAACTGATAGCGGTTGGTCATTAATTACGATGAAGTTTAGCAACATCTCGGTAAACATTCGAGCTCTGTGGCTTCAGCGGTGTGTTCTTCTCATTCAATCCGAAGCAGGCAGTCGGATTTCAGTCAGCCACGCTCAGTCTGCCCCTCTTCTGAGACGGGCAGACTGAGCGGGGCAGACTGAGCAGGGCAGATTGGGCACGGCTGGCCGGGGTGGGGCTGCCTGCTTCGGGTTGAGCGAGAGGAGTGTATGGCTGAAGCCACAGCTCAATTGTCTCGATTGTGGTGCTATGGCTCTGCAGACATTGCATTTTGCTGTCTTGCTTTGTGATGTTTCTAGTGTAAAATACTTTCACACAGCGGACATGTTTCGAGGAAAAGTTGGTTAGCTTTTAGCCACAGTGCTACTGCGTGTTTTAGTTAGCTGCATACTATGAAATGGATTTCCTGAATGTGAGGCGGGTCTTATTACTCTGGGTTCATGAGACACACCTCCGTTCAGGAAATCCATTCCATAGTTTGAATCCAATGTGAAGAGTAGTTGGCAGGGAGTCACGAGGAGATGTTTCAACAGACACAGACATGCATCATGGATCGGAAATCTCTGTAGGCTGGATCGAAAAAATCCGATATGTAAATTTTGCTGGTATCAGAGGTTGATACCGGTACCAGCTCGGATCGGCCCCATCCCTAATGATAATTAAACCATCCATCTATCCATTTTCTTTACCCGCTTATTCCATTTTGGGTCACGGGGGTTGCTGGTGCCCATGTCCAGCAATCACTGTGCGTGGGGCGGGGTACACCCTGGACGGGTCGCAAGTCCATCACAGGGCCACATAGAGACAAATGAGACAAACAACCATTCACTCTCTCACTCACACCTAGGGACAATTTAGAGTTACCAATCAGCCTAACATGCATGCTTTTGGACTGTGGGAGGAAACCGGAGTACCCGGAGAAAACCCACGCATGCACGGAGAGAACATGCAAACTCCACCCAGAAAGGCCCCTGGACCGGGGTTTGAACCAGGGACCTGCTCGCTGAGAGGCAGCAGCTCTACCAGTTGCGCCACTGTGCTGCCTGATAGTTAAACCCTCTGTGTTAATTAACCCTCTTTTGTGAAGGGACAGACTTTAGTCTCTGGAGACGAATCTCTAACAAAGAAGTGAACCTTACTCTACTTGCAAGAACTGGGGTTGCCATAGTAATGAAGGAAGTAAAACCCCCAGATGGACAGAGCTTCAACAAATATCATTGTTTGTAACAATAGGGTGCCAGAATCAAACTTGCATTTTGCTCAAAGAAATGGTGTTTATGGAAAACAAGGTGTCACCCTCTTTAACAAAGGCTATTGTGTTTTCTTCTCTGAGACTTTGAGAAGGAAGATTATAATCACATTAATTATACAGTCAGGTCACACACATCGTGATAGCACTGTGATTGGTTAAGAATCAGGGGGCACGACTTCTGAGGTGTCAGGTAAACAGGACACCAAAGTCAGTTGTGGTCAAGCAGTTGCTGAAAGCTGCTGAGGAGAGCTGAAAGGAGAACTCTCTGAGAGAAGCAGCCATGATGGAAGAAGTGAGTCCTTGTGGAGAGTTGGCTCTGAGCCAACCCAGAAGTCCTTAATGCTCAAACACCCAGGAGCGAGATGGTACGTGCCAAACGAATCACAGTCCTGAGAAAACACACCCTTTCTCGTGTAGTGAATAGGCCTCCGACCTCAACCTGTCTCTGAAGACCTTCAGGGGACAGGAACTGTTATTTCATTGATTTGAATCCAGAAATACAAATTATCTCATCAAGAGACTATTTAATTGTATCCTGAATTAATCAATTGAAAGAACACTCTTCTTTTTTATATTATCATTACTATTTTACAATAACTTGATAATCAAAAGTGTGTTTAGTTCATACTATTTCTAAATGTTGAATTGAACCACTCATTTAAATCAACTGTGAAACAGTATTAATGATTTTTAAACCTCAGCAGATTTTTGATCATACAGTTAAATGCCTATTTACGAAGTAAGTGTGCATTTAGTGATGTCGGTCAAAAGTCAGAGACAAACAGAGACAAGTTATTAGAACAAAGTGTCTTGTTTTTAAAACTAGCAGACAGTAAATAACTTCAACTGGCACCTGCGTTTGTTTCACTTCGTCATAACATTTCTCCGTCTGTGCTAACCGTTCGTAAACATTCCTGCTGTCTTTTGACTTCTAGTGACCCTCTTGACATCACTAGAACCACCCCCCGCTGGTTGTTTCAACCAATCAGGAAGTACCACGTAACAGGGAGTGTATACCCCTTTAAAAGGAACACTTCGTGGAACACTTCGTGGAACTATTCAGTTCGGTCCTGGAACTGAGTCCAGTCTTCACGAGTCTTAGTCTCTTCTAAGTCTTGCTGGAACTTTCGATCAGAGATGAGACTCACTTAAGCAGCGGATGGATGGGACCATGTGCCAAGGGGTCCCTCCATTTAGCGGAGTCATGGCTCGCATCGCTGAGCACTCAACCCGAGCAGTAAATGCTCCACTTCTAAGGAAGCTTATTCGGTGGAACCGAGTACCTCATGAGTATATGCATTTATTCTAAAGATTCCCAACTACTTTAACCAGAGACGCTGTAAAGGGATCGTACTAATGGACTTCTGTTCCGGAGTGGAGGTATCCCCATCTAAGGTAACAAAGTCGCTGCACGTCCTGAAGTGTACCGGAAAGCTGAGCGGGATGTTGGAGGAAGGGTGCAAAGTTCTGGTTTCCATCTAAACCTCCTTTTTAAATCTTTAAACTTCTATTCGCCAGTAAATCAAACTAGATGCCTTCAGAGGTGAATCGGCCTCAATCAGTAATGTTCTGTTGTCTTGTTAGTAAATCGTTCCAAGTTTATTAATCAGAAACAGATCAGCAAATCAATGTGTACATGTTTTGATGTTAAATTTTGATTATGTTAAATAAATGACCGCATTTATTCTGATGGGTCAAAGACAAAATGGCGTCTCATGTCACTGATTAAACAATCCACTCACAGTTATCTCGGTCACATGGCAGGAATTTAACTCGGAAAAAGAAAATAATCCATTGTAATTAAACAATTAATATTCTTCGTGCTTGAACTAGCTTTAAGAATAATTAATTAGTAGGGTGTCCCCAGCAAAGCTGTCCTGACATACTATACTTGGGACATCAGGCCACCGGCTCTTCTCGCATCTGCTGTGGCAATGAGAGAATGAACAACTCCCTGGTAGGACCGAATGTCTTTCTTCTAATGATGAAACAACAAGAAAAAGTGCCAACTGAGTTTGTTTAGACATAATTTAGTTCACAAATCTGAGATAAGCTTATCTAAATTTTAACATTAGAGCTAAAAACCTTAGTCCAAATTGAATCTCTCTTTTCAAAGTCTCTATGATTTACGTCATTCACTTTCTGAAATAATATTATTGGTTATTCATCCATATTTCACATTTGCCATAATTTCATATTATTATTATTCAAATTGACAATAAACATTACAGAATTGTGTATTTAAATGACCAGTTTCTCTGTATTTTCTTTGAGAGAGGGAAATTAAATTTGCTACAAGAACTCATGTACTATATGTTTGGGGTGAGGACGGTCAACATTACAGTTAGCGTAAACACCTGTTAAAGGTGCTCAGACCACAGCCTCCCCCCTACACCTATAATAAGGGTTGGTTTGTCATGCTATCTTAAGCTTAGACTAATAGAGGACAAATTGACATAATTTCCTTATATAGTTTGTTAAAATTTAATAGTTTTCATTTGATACTGTCTTAACATATAATTCTTGACCTGCCACTGTGTATCTGTTCCTCTTAAACACAGCCGTCGAAACAGATGGCCGCTTGTCCTGAGCCTGGTTCTGCTAAAGTTTTCTTCCTCGTGAGGGAGTTTTTCCTTTCCACTGTCGCCTTCATGCTTGCTCAAAATAAGAGTTCTGCGATGGAGTTAAACTCAAAGCATTCTGCTCGTCAGATAAATAATGTTAGATTATTATTTTTAAATATGAATGTTTCTGTTCAGTGCCCTGAGATGACTTCTGTTGTGACTTGGTGCTATATAAATAAAGTGAATTGAATGGAATTGAATTGAATTTACCCGCTTCTTCCTTTTGAAGTTGCATGGGTCACATGTGCCCATGTCCAGCCATCACTGTGTGAGAGGCAGGGGACACCCTGGACAGGTCTTCAGTCCATCACAGGGACACATAGAGCCAAACAACCATTCACTCTCACTCACACCTAGGAACAATTTAGAGTTACCAATCAGTCTAACATGCATGTTTTTGGTCTGTGGGAGGAAACTTGAGTACCCGAAGAAAACCCACGCATGCACGGAGAGAACATACAAACTCCACCCAGAAAGGTCCCAGGCTGGGATTTGAACCGCCAACCTTTTCACTGAGAGGCAACAGCTCTACCAACTGAGCCTCAATGCTGCCGTTATTAAAAAGTTGATGAATCAATTTCTAGTTTATTAATTTATAATCTCTAATTTAAAGGAATAATTGAATATATACATGTATATTTATCTACAGACAGATGAGCTGTGTAAGTAGTAAATAAGTTGTAATCTTTATTCACACAACCTTTATTGTGTCTGGTGAGCACTGTGAAGATGGACAGCTGTGTTGTTGAACTCATTTTCTGCATGTTTCATTATTTACACGATATAGTCTGAATATATTTAGCTTAAAAATACATGTGAACGTCAGAATGTATCTCACAGCTTTTGGCCTTTGTATCGAACAAATCTTAGATTATTCACGAGTTGCAACAGAGCTGCCTGGTTTTACTTTTTTCTCAGGCTGATCTGACAAACTACATGCAGCTGGGAGGTCCAGTTGAACCATCTACAGGTCGTCAGACTCGGGCACGCTGACAGGCTCCAGAATGATTGTGGGTATGATAAGATGCGCTCCCTCAGATAGCCACCCCTGGGCCGTCCTGTTGAATGTGGGCCTCTTCGCCCCCGGCTCTCGGAGCTCTTGGTACTGGGGGGGATTCAGGTCCACCTCCGGGAGCTTGAATGTAATTCCTTTGGGAGCTTTGTCAAAGCCTCCGTACGGAGTAGCAACTCTGAAAATGAGATGAACATTGGAGTTTGACTGTGAGCAGCGCTGGCTCGGTTATCTTTAGACCACTGGTTGTTGTCTCACCGGTTGAAGCATTTGTACTCGGGAAGTTCGGCTCGGGGCTCCAGCTCTGGCATCCCCAGCTGGAGAGTTTCAGTGAGGCTAGGGTCACCGAGGATGGCCTCCGCCCACGGGGAGTGATAAATCCTGTGCACGGCTGTGGTGTTGAGCTTCTCTGCAGACAGAACGGTGAGGAACAGACAGAGGTCAGAACATTGTGATCTAGTCTGCAACAGGAACCTATGAGGTTAGCATCGAGCTGTTTCCTCTGGCCTGAAATTTCAAAGTGTGTGGGATTAAAATAGACTGTGTGCTTTGAAAACACTTAACACAAACAAACTGAGCTGTCTATCACCACAGTTTAAGAACCTAAAATAGCACCTTGATTATATAAAGAGCTGTGACAAGATAAAACTCTGCAGAACGAGCCTCCAAACCTTGAAAAAAATTCCAGTTCTGAGTTACATCTCAGGTGTGTTCAAGAGGGAAATGAGCTGCACAAAGATACATAACTAAACATCCTGATGCATGCTCAGTAATCCAGGTAGATTATTTTACAAGGTCAAGTCAGGTCCTCTGGACGGATTGTTCTTGTTGAAACGTTTCATATTTTATCCAAAATACTTCTTCAGTCTGAGGAGCTGCAATAAACTCAGTCTTATAAATAGCACCTTCTCATAGTGGATCAACCAGTTTTGTTGTTGACATCCACAACTAGCTGTTCACATGATAAAGGAGGACCATCAGCCTAAAAATTGATCATTGGCTCCCTGATGGCTGCTTGTTATTCACAGGGGTCTGAGCGATACTAGCAATAACAGCATTGTAAGAGGGGGACATTTGAACATGGAGGCCTCCACCCCTGTTTAATGATGGACGGGTTATTTTTACAGGGCAGCATGGTGGCACAGTTAGCAGAGCTGCTGCCTGTCAGCGAGCAGGTCACCCCGGTTCAAATCCCGGCCGGGGGCCTTTCTGAGTGGAGTTTGCATGTTCTCTTCGTGCACACGTAGGTTTTCTCTGGGTACTTCGGTTTCCTCCCATATAAAACATGTATGTTAGTCTGCCTTCAGGGCCAGGCCTTCCTTGCAAAAGAGATCTGTGATCTCAGTGGGATTTGTCTGGTTAAATGAAGGTTAATAAAAATAAAAAGGCCATACTTTAGACCTTGTTTTATCTTTTGTTCCTATACTTGACCAGCTGAGTGTTGTGGACGTCCCTGTCATCAACCAGCCCTGTGTGTATTTTAATTTGTCTTTTAACCTCAACAGCCGTCCTCATAAAGTGATTTCTCAAAGGCGAATAATCAATCAAACTGCTGTTGAAAAATTGTCAGAATCATTTTAGCTCAATTGTTTTGTTAATTGCAGTGATGCTGATTCTGTTGTTGAGTCTTTTAATAGCCACTGCTTGTCTTAAATGAGGTTGCTCCTGTGAAGCACAAATTATCCTCTCCTAAAAACTCTTGCCTTTGGAGGAATGAGGAAAATATGTTGTTCAGGAGATCATGTCGTAAGGTGGAGCGTTTCTGGAAATCTACAAAACTTGAAGTCCACAGACTGCACTTAAAGGAGCTGATCTTGACTCTAAATGAAATGATTAAGCAGGCCAGGTCTGTATATTTTTCTAATCTTGTGAGTATAACTAAGAAAAATCCAAAAGTCTTGTTTGATGGTTTCACCTTCAGGCCCTCTGGTGCCTGTATTCACATTAAATGACTGCAACAGATTTTTAAACTATTTTGTGGAAAAGGTTGACAATATCAGGTCAAGTGTAAAACCAACTCCTGGTGACATCCGTGTCGTCTCTACAGTGAGCTCCTGGTCCTCATTTACACTTGTCACTTAGAGGATGTGAAGGTTGTACTAAAAAAGATCAAACCTTCTTGTTGTGTGCTAGATGTTGTACCCACATCACTGTTTTTAAAGGTGTCTGATATTGTCAGCCCCCATGTTGCCAAATTAATTAACATTTCTCTTTAAACCAGGTTGGTTCTATATTTTTTAAAACAAAGAGCTTTAAATATGATCTTGAAAAAGCCCAACTTGGACCTCATTGAGCTCTGCAATTTCAGGCCAATATCAAAACTGCCTTTTCTTGCCAAAATCCTGGAGAGGTTACTGGTTGGGCAGTTGACTACTTTTGTGCAAAGTAATGATTTTCTAGATAAGTTTCAGTCTGGTTTCCGCAAGATGCACTGTATCGATCAACAGAGGATGCTGTCTCCTCTGTGGTCCACACTGCTCTCACCCACCTAGAGCAGAAGGACTCTTACATCCATATTCTCTTTGTGGACTTCAGTCTGCCTTCAACACCATGATCCTCCAAATCCTGATGGACAACCTATTCACACTAGGACTAAGCCCCATCCATTTTGCAACTGGGTACTAAACTTCTTAACAAACAGACCACAGTCAGTGAGGATCCACAACTTCTCTTCCTCCACCATAACCCTCAGCACCAGCTCCCATCAGAAACATGTGTTGAGCCCTCTCCTGTTCACTCTGCTCACGTATAATTTTGCAGATACCCATCCAGGCTGTCACATTTTAAAGTTTGCAGATGATACAGCGGTGGTGGGATGCATCACAAACAATGATGAGTCCAGCTACAGGCAGGAGGTGGAACACCTAGAGAGCTGGTGCAAAGAGAATAACCTTCACATCAATGTGAAGAAGACAAAGGAGATGATTGTAGACTTCAGAAGGAACAAACTCACCTACACCCCCTTGAACATAAGAGGATATGTGGTGGAAGTGGTCTCCAGCTATAAGTTCTTGGGTGTACACATGAATGACAACCTCAGCTGGGGCAACAACACCACCAGCCTGATCAAGAAAGCTCATCAGAGACTCTACTTCCTCAGACGGTTGAGGGGAGCTGGTCTGGGAAGCTCAGTCCTCACCTCCTTCTACAGGTGTGCAGTGGAGAGCATCCTGTGCTCCAGCATCAACGTGTGGCATGGAGGCTGCACAGCTGCAGAAAGAAAAGCTTTGCAGAGAGTGGTGAAGTCTGCACAGAAGTCTGTTGGAGTCAGTCTCCCCACCATCACAGATATCTACACCTCTAGATTAAGGAAGAGGGCCACCTGCATCATGAAGGACCCCACTCACCCAGCACACACACTTTTTGCCCCACTCCCCTCAGGAAGGAGGTTGAGGAGCATTAAGTGTAGAACCACTAGACTGAGGAACAGCTTCTACCCTGAGGCTGTTAGACTCATTAATCTCTAACCAGGATAATCACTGAAAAAAATCACATCATGTTGCTGCTGATCTGTTTCATGTTGATGTGTTCATGCGTGCTCATCTGCTCACACAGACTCATGTTTGTGCTGCTGTTTGACAAAATGTTTTTATGCTATTAGTGCCTAGTGTATTATTTAGCTGATGTTATTCTTAGTTCTTATCTTAGATCTTATTATTGTTTTTCTTTTACGTTTTATTGTGAGATGCAACTGGGACTCTGTGTGCATATTCTCATTCCACCACATGTACCACATGAGATGTGAATGATAAATAAATCTCTCTGACTCTTATTAAAAGTCTTTAATGACATACTGATGGCTGCAGACTCTGGTCAGTGCAGTGCATTGATTTTATTGGATCAGTCATCAGCTTTTGACACAGTCGACATTCTGTTACTTCAACTGCAAAATGAGTTAGGAATTTCTGGAACTGTTCTTAAGTGGTTTTCCTCTTATATGAGCAACAGAACCTTTTCCATGTTTGTGAATAACATACAGTCTAAGACCACTCTGTTATTGTTTGGTGTTCCTCAGGGTTCACTCTTAGGTCCTGTTATGTTCCTTCTATGCATCAGCCCCCTTGATAAGTTTATCATTAGCTTCAATAATGTGTCTTACCATTTCTATGCTGATGGCATTCAACTGTACTATTCGTTCTATGACGCAGAATTACACAAGTTTGCTGAATTAGTAAATTGTGTTTCCCATATTAAAGCATGGCTAGCTAACAACTGCCTTCAGTTAAATTCTATTTCTAAGACCGAAACCCTGATCATTGCTCCTGAACAGAAAGTTCCTTGGATCAAGCAACACCTCAGTTCTCTGGGCTCCTCTTGTCAACCAAGCCTCAGAAACCTTGGTGTTCTGTTCGACCAGTCAATGTCGTTAGAAAATCATTCAAAGCTTCTGGTAAAAAAAAACAAAAAAACCCTGCTTTTATCATCTGAGAAACATTTCTAAATTGAGGGCAATGATATCCAGATCTGACCTGGAGACAATTGTTCATGTTTTTATCTATCCTCGTTTAGATTATTGTAATTCCCTTTTTACTTGTTTTAACAAATCTGCTGTTGCTCATCTCCAGCTGGTCCAGAACGCTGCTGCGAGGCTTTTAACAGGAACCAACAGAAGGTCACACATCACACCAGTTTTATCTTCTCTTCATTGGCTACCTGTCGAATTTAGAAATAATTTGAAAATTTTAGTCTTAACTTTTAGATCTTTAAATGGACAGGCACCCCATACGTCACTGAAATGTTGACTCCTTATTAACCAGCCCGCACCCTTCAGTCTTTGGCCCTGAACCTCCTAAAGGTACCTGGTTTAAAACTCGGGGTGACCTATCCTTTCAGGTCATAGCCCCCAGGCTGTGGAATGCCCTAATCCTGTCTCTTCCTGTGGTCATCTGTTGATTCCTTTAAAAAGCACCTCAAGACATTTTTACTCAGACAAGCTTTTAGTTAAATATGTTACTTTCTGTTTTTATCAGCTGTCATTGTTTTTGTTTTATTTGAAGCCTGTATTTTGTTTTTCTGTAAAGCACTTTGTGATTGTATGTATGAAAGTGCTATATAAATAAAGTTTACTTACTTACTAAAAGATGAGACGTTTCAACAAGAAGAATCCATCCAGAGCACCTGATTTAACCTTGTTAGATACAGAACTAAAGTTGAAATGTTCACACATTCATCAGCTACCTGTTGCTCATGTGTTCCCTTTATTATAGTTCTCTAACACGAGTTCCTCGAAGGAATGCATATCGCCCGCCACCTCTCCTGCCTGAGTTAGGACTCATCTCATGTAGTAAAAATACAACAAATGTGTAAAAGTGTTCATGTTCAGCATCACTCGATGACATGGGATCGAGTGCAATTTGGTTTTGCTCCAAGTATTTGTTGGGAATTACAAAGTACATTAATCTACAACCACACTAAATGTTAGCTCCTTGTCTGTAACACTGACTGCACAGTGACTATTTATTTTATTTCTAAAGCGGTTTAGATATGGAGGCCATCTTGAATTGACTCCAAAAACTGTTGTGGACATGAAACCAGCAATTAATTTCTGTAAGTTTCATTAAAATCCATCCAGTGGTGCTACCAGGCAGACAGATGTGTAGATTATTTATGTGCAGCTGCCAAAAGAAGAGCAATAAATGATGAAAATGAGTTAAACAGCCTCTCTGAATTACCTGAAGAGGTGTTTTCTGCAACGTTTCCAGGGGATGGTGGCTCCACTTTGATTTCCACATGATGTGCATTTTCATTCAAAATGTCATTCTGCAGAAAGAAAATAAATATTTGCATGTTTGGTTTGATATCAGTGGGCCTTTGCTGAAGCAACAGGACACACAAGGACAAAAGTCTTAATAAAAGAATGACACATCAGCATGCAGCGATAAACGGTGAAGTGTCTGCTGTGGCCTCTCAGACAACAGATAGCAGCACAAGGTAAGCGTCTCTGGCCTCATCCATGTTTGAAACACGTTCTTTCCTAGAGGATGTTTCTTCATCTGCTCACTTCATGAACAGCGTGAAGGCAACTTGACAGTCTGAGGACAGAACTCCTGGGAGTCTGGACAGAATAATTAGTCCACATGCAGCGAAGAGTGATAACAACCAGCTGACTCACGTTCAGTAGCGTGTTGGCTTCGTTTTGAATGCTTTCAAATGTGTACTTGTCAGACCTCCTCTGGCGCATTTTGAACAGTCGAGATCCTCTGTTTGACAGCAGAGATAACTCCTCCAACATGATGTCCTGTGGGGTGCTCAGCTTCTTCCCTAGGTCCATGGCAACTCCTCACAATAGGAAAATATGAAAAATAAATAACATTTAGTCATTTTACAGATACATGTGTTAACATGTGGTAAATCAGTCAGTAAAGGAACATGAATGCTAACTCTATGTTGTGATTGAGATTCTCTGGTATTTACTGGATTATAAGTTTTAAAAAAAGACACATGGGCAATTGTTCAGATACTTTATCAGAATAGAATCAGAATCAGAATAAACTTTATTGGCATTGCACCAAGATACAACGTGAATAAGTATATATAGTCGTCCGAAAGATGGGAGGAGTGCACGAAGCTGCGGCTATAAAAAGCGTGGCCCTCTTATTCTTATTCAGAATAATATTTTGCTTAGATGAGAAAAGGGAAGAAAACATGAGGAGAGACGGTATAAAAAAAAAGATCTCTCACACCATGTCCTAGACAGAGCACAATTTGAGGCATCAACAAAACCTACCACAGCAAAGCAACATAAATAGATGTTATACATGTTATACATAGGCCGGTGAAAACATTGAATTTTTAAGGGAAAGTCGTAGCATAGTCCAGAGCCCCCCCTCAGCCATTGTCCAGATAAGAGGTGACATTCATCATCATCTCAGTTGAGGCTCTGTCACATGTCCACGGCCTTGGGGAAGGGAGGGGTGTGGAGACAGTCAAAGCATCTTTGTTGTTTTCAAAACATGTCAGGAGGAGTTGAGATAAGTCCGGCGTCAAGGCCACAGTTTGGGTCAGGCCGAACTCGTGAATTGTTGTTTCTGCCTTTTAAAGTCTCGCTGGTATACAGTATATTCCTATGATGGAACTCCAAAATAGCCGAATTGATCCTTTATGCCAAAAGTTGAGCTCACAGCATTCTCTAAGGTTATTCCCACCGTTCATGAGTGCTGCCAGTGAGTTCACAGTCCTGATAGCAGCCTGCTCCAGCTCCCTGCTGAAGCTCCCCAAATTCAGTCTGAGTGCTGTCGAGTTTCGACACATCCACATGAATTTATAGACAATCCAGAATTCACCAGCCAAACAGCAAAATAACCAGTTGTCATCATGAATCCAATTTGTTTCCGTTGAGGTAAGAGGGTCCTCCTTATGCCCTGACTCCTGTCAGGAGAAGTTGATCAATTTTGTTGAGAGACCAGCTGATTCTTCAAATTAAGAGGTGTGCAGAAAAAAAGAGGCTTTTTAAGGGTTCACGAGACAAAAAAGTGCAAGCAAGGAAGTGTGTGTGTGTGTGTGTGTGTGTGTGTGTGTGTGTGTGTGTGTGTGGGTGGGTGGGGGTGGGGTGGGGGGGACCAGGGAGACACATCTGGTTTCACCGGAGGACAGAAAAATAAAAATGATGACATGATCAGAACTGTGTCCATCAGTAAACATAAATAAACTTGTAATGGCAAATGAGGAATAAATTACATTTTGGCTAGCTTGAGAACCCCAACTATAGCATTATTTACATGACAGGCAATGCAGAGAAGGAAGGTAGATGTTTTATCTGTCCAAGAGACCAAGTGGAAGGGCAGCAAGGCTCGCAGCATTGGAGCAGGGTTCAAACTGTTTTACCATGGTGTGGATAGAAAGAAAAATGGAGTAGGGGTGGTCCTGAAGGAAGAGTTGGCAAAGAATGTAGTAGAGGTAAAAATGAGTGTCAGATAGGGTGATGCGCATGAAGGTAGAAGTAGAAAGTCTGGTGCTAAATTTTGTCAGTGGCTATGCTCCACAGGTTGGATGTGATGTAGAGGTGAAAGATACATTTTGGAAAGGTCTGGATAGAGAGTATTCCCAGGGAGGAGAGAGTGGGGATTGGACTAGACCTGAATGAAAAATGTTGGTGAAGGAAACAGAGGGGATGAGGAAGTGATGCGTGGGTTTGGTGTCAAGGAAAGAAACCAGGAAGGACAGATGGTGGTGGGTTTTGCCAAGAGAATAGAAATGGCTATAGTCAACACTTATTTCCAAAATAAGGACATAACATGTCTTGGACACTCGGGTAACGAGAGGGGCGAAGCTGTCCACTGATCACTATCTGGCAGTGAGTTGGCTCCGATGGTGGGGGAGGATGCCAGTCAGACCTGGCAGGCCCAAATGTATTGTGAGGGTTGGCTGGGAACGTCTGGCAGAGTCTCTTGTGAGACGGGGCTTTAACTCCCACATCCGGGAGAACTTCGAACATGTTCCGGGAGAGGAAGGGGACATTGAGTCCGAGTGGGCCATGTTCCGTGCCTCTATTGTCGAGGTGGCTTACCAGAGCTGCGGCCACAAGGTTGTCGTGCCTGTTGCAGCGACAACCCTCGAACCCAGTGGTGGACACCAGCGGTGAGGGATGCTGTCAGGCTGAAGAAGGAGTCCTATCTGGACTTTTTGGCCTGTGGGACCCCGGAAGCAGCTGATGGGTACCAGCAGTCCAAGCGACATGCGACTCAGGTGGTCGCTGAGACAAAAACTTGGGCATGGGAGGAGTTCGGATAGGCCATGGAGAATGACTTCTGCATGGCTTCGAGGCAATTCTGGTCCACCATCTGGGATCTCAAGGGGGAAAAGCAGTACACTACCAACACTGTTTATAGTGGGGGTGGTGTGCTGCTGACCTCAACTCGGGATGTCGCGGGTCGGTGGGTGGAATACTTTGAAGACCTCCTCAATCCCACCGGCACATCTTCCACTTAGGAAGCGGAGCCTGGGGACTCTGGGTCAGGCCCTCCAATCTCTGGTGCTGAGGTCACCGAGGTAGTTAAAAAGCTCCTCGGTGGCAGGGCCCCAGGGGTGGATGAGATTCACCCGGAGTTCCTTAAGGCTCTGGATGTTATAGGGTTGTGTTGGCTTACGCGACTCTGCAATATTGCATGGACGTCGGGGAGAAGTTCCCCTGGATTGGCAGACCGGGGTGGTGGTCCCCCTATTCGGAAAGGGTGACCATATAGTGTGTTCCATCTACAGGGGGATCACACTCTTAAGCTTCCCTGGTAAGGTCTATTCGGGGGTTCTGGAGAGGAGGGTCCATCGGATAGTCGAACCTCGGATTCAGGAGGAGCAGTGTGGTTTTCGTCCTGGTTGTGGAACACTGGACCAGCTCTACACTCTCAGCAGGGTCCTGGAGGGTGCGTGGGAGTTTGCCCTACCGGTCTACATGTGCTTTGTGGACTTGAAGATGGCGTTCGACCGCGTCCCTCGGGGAACCCTGTGGGGGGTACTCTGGGAGTATGGGGTACCGGGCCCTTCGATATGGGCTGTTAGGCCCATGTATGACCGGTGTCAGAGCCTGGTCTTCATTGCCGGCAGGAAGTCAGGCTCATTCCCAGTGAGAGTTGGACTCCGCCAAGATTGCCCTTTGTCACAGATTCTGTTCATAACTTTTATGGACAGAATTTCTAGGCGCAGCCAAGGTGTTGAGGAGATACAATGTAGAGCAAAGAGGGAGGTAACAAAGGCAAAGCAGAAGGTGTATGATGAGTTGTACTGAAGGCTGGACAATAAAGAGGCTGAGAAGAACTTGTACTGATTGGCAAGACAGAGGGATCAGGCTGGAAAGGATGTGCAGCAGGTTAGGCTTATTAAAGATAGGAATTGTAATGTTCTAACAAGTGAGGAGAGTGTGACGGAAAGATGGAATGAGTACTTTTAGGAACTAATGAATGAAGAGAATGAAAGAGAAAGAAGAGTAGAGGTCATAGAAACTGTGGACCACGAAGCAGGAAAGATTAGTGAGGGTGAATGAAGTCTGGAAAGTTCTGAAAAGAATGAAGATGGGGAAGGAAGTAAGACTTGATGACATAGCAGTGGAGGTTTAGAAATGTCTTGTAGAAATGGCAGTGAGGTTTTTGACTTAAATATTCAATGGCATATTGAGGGAGAGAAAATGCCTGAGGAATAGAGAAGAAGTGTGCTAGTGCCCATTTTTAAGAACAATGGTGATGTACAGAGTTGTAGCAACTACAAGGAAATTAAGTTGATGAGTCACACGATGAAGATCTGAAAGAGAGTTGTGGAAGCAAGACTTTGACTAGAAGTGACTATTTGTGAGCAGCAGTATAGTTTCAAGCCAAGAAAGATGATATGATGAAAAAAGTAATTGTGATGACTGTAATGTGTTTATGAATAATAATTAAAAAAATCTAAATGTAAATTACTCCCATTATTTACAACCATGGACAACAGATGATAAAATCAAACAAACTCTTAAACTGTGGTTGACGAGACAGAGAACAGCAGTTGGTTTGACGCTGGTGTTAAAAGCGGACACTGATTTATTTTGGACCTGTGAGCAGATTTAGAAAATGTTCTCAGGTGTTTTATAAAGTTCATCCTTTCTGTTTCCAGCCGTTTGGTAAAAGAACCAAACAAAAACAAACATTGTGTTTAAGTTGGGGTTTAGGACGTGTCCTCGGCCACGTGCGCTGACAGAATGTCCCTCAGCTGTTCAGACATTCATGTCTCCCCCACCTCACAATATAAAAAGCCTCACAACTCTCCCTCTCCCAACACCCCCACCCAGAAATAGACTTTCGGACAAAGAACAAAGGATTATCCACCCCCTGGTGGTAAATCAGCCTGTTTTATTTCTGGGCGGCCCTAACATTTTGAACCCGGATCAGAACCTGGCTTGTCTTTTCCAGCACGAATAAATATCTAACATGATCTGTTAGCAATCAAATTGTGTGTTGAGGATGACTTTTAGCTACTACCACCAAAGTTAAATTTAATTTCTCTAAAGCTGACTGACTCACAGCCTTTTTGGTGTTTGCTAAGGTTGATTGGCTGCAGCGGCCATCTTGAATCAGGCCGACTCCAAAGAATGAGCAATGAGGAACATTTGATGATTTCTGTCTGTGACTTTTATCAGAACTAGATCATAGGATATTTTACTAATAGGCAGATGGACAAACACACACACACTCAGACACATGCAACTACACAAATGCTCACCTTTCATGGTGCTGGACAATCATGTACTATCACCATCCACACTTCTGCCAAATGTTTGTTTGCCTATTCACACCAATCTGAAGTCTTTCTAAGTGACCAGTTAAACGTGTTGTGTATCCTTCAGAGCTGTAGTGTTTCTCATTTTGTTCTTTCCGCTTCAAGTCTTTAATTTCTTTATGGTGATGTGTGCCTTTAGTGATGCAGTTTGTCTTCAGTCAGCTGATGAAACATGAAAACCAGCTTGGGTTAGTTCTGTCAAACATTGTTTTTTGTTATGGTTATTGCCTCCTCTCCAGTTGCAGAACTTGACATCGATGCTTTAGTTCATTTAAATGCTGACCAAGTCGTGCATGGCTCTGTTGTGCTGACAAGCAGCCGTGGTATCAGACATGCAAAGTGCAGAAGTCAAGCCATCATCGCCCTAAACCTAATAGATGAACCAAACTGAATCCACTATTGACGGTCTAGCCTTTTGTTTTTAGTTGTCATAAACTTTATTTTAGTCATGAAAGAAGCAGGTCATTTAGTATAACTTAACGAACTTAACGAGGCGCGGTCGTACCTGTGATTGTGTCCCTGCTGTGCAGCCAGTACCCTTGACGTGGAGACCTGGAGAATCAGGGGTCAACCCACAGCGTGGAGTGGGATCTTCCCTGATCTTTACACTCTCGGACACTAAAACTAAACTGTGAGCATGTGTGTCTCAATGTGTGTTGTGAACGGAATGCAGCTTACATCAATAGGCTAAATTTAACCTGCCAAACACTCAAATCCTGCTCTCAGAGCCCTCGGGTCTGGGCCAGCAGGCAGATGCCTGTACGTGTGCACGGATCTTCCTACAAGAAGGAGTCCCACCCAGGAAACGGTTGTTTCCTTACTTCTGATCCTTACACTCACCTGTTCTCAGGGCCTACCGTAACTCCTGCTGGATGTTTCCTCTCAGACCAGCTCAAGTCACGTTGAAGACGTGCAGAGCTGTGACGTGTTTTCTTTAAAACTCAAATATAACGTAAAGTTTCTACATTTAAAAATGAAACTCAGTCTGAAAACAATTGTTTCCATCTGTACAAGTGAAGTTCCAACACTGTGACAATTCATGAACAATCAGTATCTTACTTGTTGTGGATGGCTCTTTGAAGAACAGTTGAAATCTCTCAGGACCAACAAGCTCATGGCTAGTCCGAGTGGAGCTGTGGGAGTGTATTGCTGCCATGTCAGGTCATCTCTGCAGCAGTTCATGTAAACACTGATTTATACATTTATTGTTGCACTATTTTTATTTGTCTGCTCAGTTTTTGTAATCTAACTCCTTCTGAATACTTGGAGATATTTTAATCATTTGATCAGAAAAATATTCAGCTCATTCAGCTCAGATGTGTTCTGTGACTGTGGGTTAAGCAACTTTTGTACTTTTCAAAATATTTCACTTCATTTACAAATATTTTCTAAATTGAAATACATAAAGATTTGTTCATTTCATAAAAAATAATATTCTCTGAACTCTGTTGTAAAATAATGATTTGTTTGTCTTCTTGGGTTACTTTTACTTTTTAGCCACTGTTTTATTTTAATTGGCTAGCTTTTTCTACTTTTGTTTTTTAGCTATTGCGTTGTTACCTTTAGCTTCTAGCTACTGATATGCTGCTTTTAGTCTTCAGTTAGCATTTTGGTTCATTTAGCATTCAGTTAATGTTTCATTCATTTTTTCTTTGACTACTTGTTTTCAGCTTTTTCATTGGATTTCAGCAGTCTCTCAGCCATCAGTATTCACGCTGCAGTAAAAAAAAAAAAAAATCAGTTTCTGTTTGTAGTGCAAGCAGTGGCAACAGCAGCTAGCCGTAGCACTTTAGGTAGATAGCTGTCAGAACTAAACTCTATTTGTAGAATCAGAGGTTGTTCAAACAGCTATCTACAACAGTTAAGATGATAATTGTTCTTAGCTTTTCCACAAAATCCCTTAAAGCTTTAAAAATACTGCCAATGCAATGTTTAAAACAACAACACCAACAACAATAATAACAAATAATAACAATAATTATAATAATAAAACTAAATGGTGAGGTTGTTTCAAGTAAATAATGTAGCATATAGGTCCTTAGTACTTTGTCCCTCAAGATATCAGACTGTTCAACTCCTCCCCGTACAGTAAAACTAAAGCGTTGTAAATTTGTGGTACCCTGGACACTTATGTATGAGTATGCATGTATAAGTACATATGCATTTGTATGCACTGTATGTACATTATGTATATGTATGCTTAGATATGTACTGTATATATATATAGGTTAATCACGAATGTACCCCCTTGTGCAAGTGCAGTGTCTATTTCCAAATTTTTGTATTCTGCTTCTTTTTTAATTTTTTAATGTACCTTTTTTCCTGCATAATTAGAACATGCTATTGAATACCTCAAATTTCCCCCAGGGATTTATACATACATACATACATACATACATACATACATACATACATACATA